ACCTGTATTCCCACTTATTAGAATTTATTTCGCAGATATATCTGTGTAAAAAGAGATAACATGGATTGAATATACCCAATGAGCAGTCATTTTTTTTTTTAATTTAAAGATGTGGAGTACAATTCAGGTATACACATGTTCATTATGCAGGTACCCTTGTTGATGAGGTGTGCCCCTCCCTCCCCGGCAGTGTTCCTCAACTGCCAATCCCACCACTCCCTCCTCCCCCCAGCAGTTTCCCACTACTGCCAATCCCTTTTTCATAGTATTATTATAATTGTTCAAGGTCCGTTTATGAATGAGAACATATAGTACTTTGTTCTTTGTTTCTGTGATAGATCACTGAGTATGACAGGCTCTAAATCCATCCAAGGTGCTACAAAATTCACGTTTGCCCTTCTTTATGGCTGCATAATATTCCGTTGTGTATATGGACCACATTTTTTTGCATCCAGTCCAGCTTCAATGGGTAGCATGGTTGGTTCCATGTTTTTGCTATTGTGAATAGAGTTGCAGCAAACATGTCTGTGCAGGTACCTTTTTTTTTGTAGAATGCTTTGAGTTCCTCTGGGTATATTCCCAATAGGGAGGTTGATGGGTCATATGGAAGGTCAATTTCTAGTTCTTTCAGAAATTGCCACACTGTCTTTCAAAGAGGTTGCACTAGTTTGCATTCCCACTAGCAGTGTAGAAGTGTTCCTTTTTCTCCACATCCTCGCCAGCATCTGTTGTTGTTTGTTTTATTAATGATGGCCATTCTTACTGGGGTTAGGTGGTATCTCAATGTGGTTTTGCTTTGCATTTTCTCTCTGATGATTAGTGAGGCTGAGCGCTTTTTCATGTGTCTGTTGGCTGCCCATATATCTTCTTTTGAGAAATGTCTATTCACGTCTTTTGCTCACTTTTTAATGGGCTGTTTGTTTTTTCCCTTTCGGCATATTTGAGTTCCTAGTAGATCCTAGATGTTAGGCCTTTGTCAGACATATAGTTAGCAGCCATTTTAACATTGCCTGAATCTCATGTCTTTCTAGCAGTTCTCTTAACTTACCCTCTAATCACTAGCCAAGAACAGAGCTGGTATCTGAGAGGTAGTTATTGATAATTGTTTTACCCTAGTTATTGGTAATTGTTTTACCCTAGCTTGTTTTGTACTAATTAGCGTTTCTATTTTAAGTAATTGCCTCCACCCATAAGAACCAACTTAACCTAATCAGACCTTTATGACACAGACAGACCCCACCACCATGGCATCAATCATGTGACTAACCCACCCATCTGCCTGCTGTCCATCACCTGACGTCAATACCTGCGCGTACCTGCCCCTTCGTGATGACGTGGAGCAGACCACCACCCAGTCACCTTAATGACCTTCCTTCATCAAAGGAAAGAATTAAAAGGATTCAACCTTGAGCACCTAGTGGCCATTGTCTTGCTAAGCTATGGTGTGCTCTTTGAGCTATGACCGGGTCATGTTTCCTGGCTTTGGCCCCCTCCCCTACCTTGGAGAGGTGAATTTCCCCTTTCTCCCTCTCAAATTTACTTTCTAAATAAACTATATTTCCCAATTTAACTCCTGTCTAATTCTTTGCATCCTTCTCACGGCACCAGATCGCACCAGGCACCCCACACTTCCAGCAGGCCTAAACTAACATTCTGGAAGTCCCACTGGGAGTGTGATCTACACTGTGTATAAGATTATCCATTACAGTATTGTTTGTAATAAGAGAGTATGATGGCTAATTTTATATGTGTTAACTTGGCTAGGTAAGGTGATGCCCAGATACCTGGTAAAACATTATTTCTTGGTGGGTTGTTGGCGATATTTCTGGAAGTGATTAGCATTTGCACTGGTGGACTGAGTAAAGGAGATCACTCTCACTAACGTGGGTGGCATCATCCAGTCCATTAAGGGCCCAAAGAGAACACAAAGGTGGGCTGGGCTTGGTGGCTCAGCCTGTAATCCCGCGCTTTGGGAGGCCAAGGTGAGTGAATTGCCTGAGCCTGCAGGTTCGAGACCCACCTGGGCAACTTGGTGAGACCTCATCTCTACAGTAAATCAAAAAAATTAGCCGGGCGTGGTAGCATGCGCCTGTAGTTCCAGCTACTTGGAAGGCTGAGGCGGAAGGATCACCGGAGCCCAGCAGGTCGAGGCTGCGGTGGCCAGGAACGTGCCACTGAACTCCAGTCTGGGCAACAGAGTGACTCCGACTCAAAAAAAAAAAAAAGAACACAAAGGTGGAAGAAAAGTGTCTCCCTCTCTCTGCTTGAGCTTGGGCATCCATCTTCACCTGCCTTTGGACATCAGCACTCCTGGTTCTCAGGCCTTTGGCCTGGAACTATAACTTATACCACTGGCTCCCTAGTTCTTGGGTCTTTGAACTCAAACTGAATTGTATCACCAGCTTTTTTGGTTCTGCAGCTTACAGGTGGCAGGCTGTGGGGCTTTTTGTCCTCCATAATCACATGAGCCAATTCCTATAATACGTGTGTGTGCGCGCACATGCACGTGTGTATGTGTGTGTGTATGTGTGTGTGTGTGTGTGTGATCTTATTGATTCAGTTTTTTCTGGAGAATGTTGAGTGATACAAAAAAGGAATTAGAAACCATTTATATTCCCCAGAGGGGAACTAAATTACGGCATTCAATCAAAAAAGTAATGCAGTTAGTGAGGATGCCACACACTCACTAGAAATGATAAAATTAAAAAGATTGACAACACTAAATGTTGATGCGAATATGGAGGAACTGGAACTCTCAGCATAAATTGCTGGTAAGGGTGCAAAGTGGTACAACCACTTTGGAAAAGTTTGAGTTTCTTAAAAAAATTAAATATGCCATTACTTTATTGACCTTGCAATTCTATTCTAGGTAATTAGTTATACATGAGACATGAAAATATATGTCCATACAAAGACTTAGACACACTTTCATAGCAGCTGTATTTATAAGAGCCACAACTGGGAAAGAACCCAAATATTCTACTGGTGCACAGAGAAACTGGTACATGGAAATTGGTACATGGAACACCACTCAGCAATAGGACGAAACAAACTGTTGACACAAAACAGTGTAAATGAATCTCAAAAACACTGTAGAGGGAAGGAAGCCAGTCACAAAAAGCACATGCTGTACTCTTCCATTTATATAAAGTTTTAGAACGGAGTTGGGTGTGGTGGTTCACGCCTGTAAGCCCAGCACTTTGGGAGGTGGAGGCGAGAAGATTGCATGGGCCCATGGACTCGAAACCAGCCTAGACAACATGGGGAGACATTGTCTCTACAACAAACAAAAAAATTAGCTGGACATGGTGGCACATGCCTGTAGTTCCAGCTACTTGGAAGGCTGAGGTTGAAGGATCACGTGAGCCCAGCAGGTCAAGGCTGTGGTGGCCGTGAGCGTGCCACTGCACTCCAGTCTGGGCAACAGAGTGAGACTCCAACTAAAAAAAAAAAAAAAAGCTCTAGAGCAGGCAAAACTTATCTACAGACATAAAACAGATCAGGTGGTTGTCTAAAGTTGGGAGTGGGAGAGATTGACCAGGTCTTGCTCTGCTGCCCAGGCTGGAGTGCAGTGGTGGGATCATGTAGCTCACTGCAGCCTTGAACTCCTGGACTCAAGTGATCTTCTAGCTTCAGGTTCCTGAGTAGCAGGGACTGTAGGTGTGAACCACCACACCTCTGTGGAAAGCTCCACTGGCCTATTAAAATTCCTCTAATTGTACATTTAAAATAAGTACATTTTATTGTATGTAAATATGCTTTAATAAAATTTATTTTAGACACACTTTCTAGTAGTTACCGTAGTAATAAACATAAAAATAACAATAAGGACCCTCTAAATACGCGGATATTCAAGGTCAATTAAGTGACCAAAAAAAAACCAAGGTGTAGAAAAATGTTAATACGATTTTTTAAAAAGTCTGTATTTCTTGGGTGTGCATGAAAATCATCTGAAAGTTATTCAAGAAACTAACAGTGGCTTCCTGTTGTGAGAGGAGGACCAGGCGCACGGGGAGAGGTAGGGAGACATTTCCCCATTATTTTATCATACGTTTTGATATTCGAATCACATGAAGGTGCTTCTCTCACGGCTGGAACTTTTACTAACAGGATCGCTGCATTCCAGATTCGCGGAAACAAATAGGTTTGCTTAAAGGCTAACATCCCTCGCTGCGGGAATTTACCCTAGCATCCAAACAAACCTCTGAAACGAGAGCCAGATGTGACTGAGGCGTAAAGGGCCCCACGTCGGAGCGCCCAGGGTTGCAGCTTCTGGCGCCCGCCGGGCACGAGCGGCTGTCCCCACGCTGCGCCTCTCCCTCGGCGTCGCCTCTGCCCGCCCCGACGTCCCCGAGACCAAGCCCCACGGCCGCGGCTTCCGCTCGCTCCCCGCCCGCGGCGCGCCCGGCGTCGGGGTCGGGGCCCCGGGGCTCAGAGACGGGGCGCCCG